GAGAGAGAGAGAGAGAGAGAGAGAGAGAGAGAGAGAGAGAGAGAGAGTGTTTTTGTTTTGTTTATTTTTTAAACACAACTACCTATGAATATCCTGGACCTCACAAAGGATATTCTAAGAAAGCGGTACTTTCCTCCCAAATGTAACTTCAAATTACTGTGACAAGTTACTATTATTACATAACCATTTACCCTTACATTTTGAGGTTGTTATCACATCATTCCCCCACTTGAGGGGACACACTCAAGACCCATGTTTGTTTCATGACAGCACGGTGTTTTCCTGATGTTTCTCTGCTTGTTACAGGACATTACGGACATTCAGGAGAGAAAATATTTATAAGAGAGAGCAAGCGGCGACTCAAACAGGGGAATGGCCTAAAAGGACTGGAGGACCACCTTGTCGCACATAGAGAAGTGACACTTTTAGGCATGTGATTGAGATTGTTTTTTTTTTTTCCCCTAGCTTTATATTTTTAGCTTTCCTAGTATATGCTACTATCTAGGCCTCTAACCATGTCTATATCAGATACCACACAGGATTTCAATAAAATTTACATCTTTACCGTATATGAACCTTGCATATTAAGAATCCATGCTCAGGGTTGGGGATTTAGCTTAGTGGTAGAGCACTTGCCTACAAGGCCCTGGATTCAGTCCTCAGCTCCAGAAAAAAAAGGGGGGGGGGGGGGGGGGGGGGATGGATCCATGCTTCCTGTGTACAATACAAAGCAGCTTTCTTTCATTTACTATAACTGATTATGACCCAGGCTGGCCTCAAACTCCTGATCCTCCTGACTCCACATCTTTAGCATACCCTACTGAAGTCTGCCACTACAACCAGCTCTTTTTATAATTGATTATAGAGAGTGAGACTTACTTTCCATATTAGCATTTTACTGACTGATCAGTTGATACTAATTTTTTTAAGGTAGGCTCTCATGCAGCCTTATTGGCATTTTAGTATCCTTCCTCCTAGTGACTGATGTATAGTAAGAAAAAGCTAGATGTAACAAATACATTGTGCAGCGTTCTGCACAGCTGAGTGTAGAATCCCGTGAATTCTGCAGGCGTCACGGCGCAGCATAGAGAACCCGGACTGCTTTGCTGCACCTGGCCCCTCCCTCCAGAAGAGCTCCCTGCGCAGTGCAAAGTCCTGCTCCTCCCGGTTTTCATTCCAGTCGATTCCACTCTCAATACCAGGGATGGCTATGTGCCCCTGGCCTGGTCAACCCAAGACTGCATGCCCCTTGCCACAATGATGGGCTCACTGATGCCTACACCCCCAAAACAGGTCAAAAGACTGAACACCAAGGTGTTTGCACACCCACTGCCTGGGATGTGCCCTCTAGAGACTGAACACCAAGGTGTTTGCACACCCACTGCCTGGGATGT